TTGGATTTTCTTGGTGGGTCTGTAGATAGTTTGTATGTTGTATTTCCTCATCAGCTTCCCTATGCGGTCAGTGGTTCCCTTGACGTATGGCAAGAACATTTTACCTCTGGGTGGATCTTTTGTTTTTACTCTCATGGCTTGTTCTCTCGGTCTTGCAGCTCTTCTGATGTCTTTGGTGGTGTATCCATTGGCCTGTAAAGCCCAGTTTAGGCGGTTCAGTTCATCTTGGAGGAGCTGGGGTTCACAGATTCTTTTTGCATGGTCTGCCAAGGCTACTAGGGAATTACTATTAAAAATAGACCTATTACTATACCCCATGCTATAAACCAGGGGTCTTCAATCTAAGGCCCAGGGGCCGGATGCAGCCCTCCAAGGTCATTTACCCGGCCCTCGCACAGGGTCAACCTGTCTGAAATGACTTGAAAACACACAACAACAACCCTATCTCATCAGCCAAAAGCAGGTTCACACTTCCCACTGAAATACTAATAACTTTATATTTGTTAAAATTGTTCTTCATTTTAATTATTGTATTGTTTAAAGTGCTTTTTTGCACTACAAATAAGATATGTCTAGTGTGCATAGGAATTCATTAATGTTTTTGTCAAATTATAATCCGGCCCTCCAACAGTTTGAAAGACTGTGACCTGGCCCTCTGTTTAAAATGTTTGAGGACCCCTTCTATAAACTCTGTATTGACTATATTGAGAATAAAATGCAGTAATTGAAAGCAAATACAGTAAATTGTGCTGGAAGCTCCTTCTTTGGAAGCTTTTAAATAGAGGCTGGATGGCCATCTGTCAGGAGTACTTTGATTGTGTTTTTCCTGCATGGTAGGGGGTTTGAGTAGATTGCCCATGTGGTCTCTTCCAACTTTGTTATTCTATGAGTCTATGAAATGACAAGCTTAATATTTTATTTATTTATATATTTTATTTATTTACTTCATTTATATACCGCTTTTCTCAGCCCTCAGGCGACTCAAAGCAGTTAACAACAGCAAAATTCAATGCAAAAAATCACAAAACGAATATGGGACAGTTAAAAATATAATATAATATAACATTTGTGTATAAACTGGGTTTATTATTATTTCTTGGATTTGTTGCCAGTTGCTTGAAAATTCTGGTTTGCTAAGAGTGTTTTGTAGTTTTCTTTTCCTGCTGGATGCAGCTATTGCAAGTGGGCGAGTAGGGATGTAATACCCACCCAAGAAATGTGACTGCCTGGGTCTCTTCCAAACTTTCCCAAGTCAAGAGGCACTGTAGTACACAAAGTTTTGGCACTGTGAGGCAGAAAATCCCACAAGAGCTCCTGCCTGGCAGTTAAAACATAATAATAAGAAAGCAGATTTTAAAAAGATGCTCTTTCGTGACACCCACAATCTGCTGAGGCAACTGCCTAATCACAGGGACAATGTTAGTACTGAATATTCTCCTGTTAAAAGACAAAACTGCTTCCCACACACACAAAAGCAGGCTGAAGTATTCAGCCTAACCCTCTGTCTATTCTGCTCCTCTTCTGTCTGCAAGGTTTCCCTCAAGGGAAGCAGCATTCATGTGTGCAGCTCCACACCCCACTTCCTAATCCATTAGGAATTGTATCATGGATAATGTTGTTGTTCATTCGTTCAGTCGTCTCCGACTCTTCGTGACCTCATGGACCAGCCCACGCCAGAGCTCCCTGTTGGCGGTCACCACCCCCAGCTCCTTCAAGGTCAGTCCAGTCACTTCAAGGATGCCATCCATCCATCTTGCCCTTGGTCGGCCCCTCTTCCTTTTGCCTTCCACTTTCCCCAGCATAATTGTCTTCTCTAGGCTTTGCTGTCTCCTCATGATGTGGCCAAAGTCCTTCAACTTTGTCTCTAGTATCCTTCCCTCCAGTGAGCAGTCGGGCTTTATTTCCTGGAGGATGGACTGGTTGGATCTTCTCGCAGTCCAAGGCACTCTCAGAACTTTCCTCCAACGCCACAGCTCAAAAGCATCGATCTTCCTTCGCTCAGCCTTCCCTAAGGTCCAGCTCTCACATCCGTAGGTTACTACAGGGAATACCATGGCTTTGACTAGGCGGATCTTTGTTGCCAGTCTGATGTCTCTACTCTTTACTATTTTATCGTGACTGGACATTGCTCTCCTCCCAAGAAGTAAGTGTCTTCTGATTTCCTGGCCACAGTCTGCATCAGCAGTAATCTTTGCACCTAGAAATACAAAGTCTGTCACGGCCTACACGTTTTCTCCCTCTATTTCCGAGTTATCATTCAGTCTGGTTGCCATAATCTTGGTTATTGATGTTTAACTGCAACCCGGCTTTTGCGCTTTCTTCTTTCACCTTGATTAGAAGACTCCTCAGCTCCTCCTCGCTTTCGGCCATCAGAGTGGTGTCATCTGCATATCTGAGGTTGTTAATGTTTCTTCCAGCAATTTTCACCCCAGCTTTGCATTCATCCAGCCCCGCACATCGCATGATGTGTTCTGCATACAAGTTAAAAAGGTTGGGTGAGAGGATGCAGCCTTGCCGTACGCCTTTCCCAATCTTGAACCAGTCTGTTGTTCCGTGGTCAGTTCTGACTGTTGCTACTTGGGCCTTGTACAGATTCCTCAGGAGAGAGACAAGGTGGCTTGGGATGCCCATCCCACTAAGAACTTGCCACAATTTATTATGATCCACACAGTCAAAGGCTTTAGAATAGTCAATGAAGCAGAAGTAGATGTTTTTCTGAAACTCCCTGCCTTTCTCCATTATCCAGCGGATATTGGCAATTTGGTCTCTCGTTCCTCTACCTTTTCTAAACCCAGCTTGAACATCTGGCAACTCTCGCTCCATGGATAATACTGATAGTATAAATAAGGCAAGATGCTGTGCAGCCCAGTAGTTTGAGTGCAGCGCTAGAACTCTGGGACACCGGGGTTCAAATTCCCACTCAGTCATTGAAACCCACTGGGAGACATTGGGCAAGTCGCACTATCTCAGCCTCATAGGAAGGAAAGGGCCGACTCCCCTTGAACAAACCTTGCTAAGAAAACCTACATAACAAATAAATAAGGCATGAAATAGCAATGTCTTACACACTCTATGTTGCCTCCTACTGACTATCCTTGGTAAAGCATTGGCAATCTTAGTTCTATTTGAAGTGAGGGTTATGGCATATTTCACTAGGATGTAGCTTCTTGGTGAAATGAGGAGCACAGGTGTCTCTAAAGTAGTTGTATTGCAGACATTGCCAGATTTCATATTATTGATGGCTGTGCTTAAGATTGACAGGCAAAAATGTGCCCCTTCAGATTTTGGACGCACAATCAATTGGGGAACCCTAGCCAGTATAGTGAGGAATTATGGATATCACGATTCAACAATTTATTAATTTATTTACCACACTTTTATATGGCAGTGTAGAAGGATCTTGAGTCTATATGTAAAGGATGCACCTCAGAAATGAGAGGATTTTACTGCCCCCATCCACACAGCTGAATAAAACCCCACATTAGCTTCTTTGAACAGGGTTTTATAAGCAGTGTGAACTCAGATGAGCCAAGGCCCTTCCACACAGCCCTATATTGCAGAATATTGACAAGCTGGAATGTGTCCAGAGGAGGGTGACTAAAATGATCAAGGGTCTGGAGAACAAGCCCTATGAGGAGCAGCTTAAGGAGCTGGGCATGTTTAGCCTGAAGAAGAGAACACTGAGAGGAGATATGATAGCCATGTATAAATATGTGAGAGGAAGCCACAGGGAGGAGGGAGCAAGCTTGTTTTCTGCTTCCCTGGAGACTAGGACGGGGAACAATGGCTTCAAACTACAAGAAAGGAGATTCCATCTGAACATGAGGAAGAACTTCTTGACTGTGAGAGCCGTTCAGCAGTGGAACTCTCTGCCCCGGAGTGTGGTGGAGGCTCCTTCTTTGGAAGCTTTTAAACAGAGGCTGGATGGCCATCTGTCAGGGGTGCTTTGAATGCTATTTTCTGCTTCTGGGCAGGGGGTTGGACTGGATGGCCCACGAGATCTCTTCCAACTCTAGGATTCTAAGGCCATATATGTACACACGATCCTCACAGCCTGGGCACATTCACAGCCATGTATAAATATGTGAGAAGAAGACACAGGGAGAAGGGAGTGAGCTTGTTTTCTGCTTCCCTGGAGACTAGGATGCGGAACAATGGCTTCAAACTACAAGTGAGGAGAGAAGAAGATTCCTGAACATGAGGAAGAACTTCCTGACTGTGAGAGCCATTCAGCAGTGGAACTCTCTGCCCTGGAGTGTGGTGGAGGCTCCTTCTTTGGAGGCTTTTAAACAAAGGCTGGATGGCCATCTGTTGGGAATGCTTTGAATGCAATTTTCTTGCTTCTTGGCAGGGGGTTGGACTGGATGGCCCATGAGGTCTCTTCCAACTCTAGGATTCTATGATTCTATAAAGGAAGAACTTTAGGTAGAACATGAGGAAGAACTTCATGTGACTGTGAGAGCTGTTCAGCAGTGGGACTCTCTGCCCCAGAGTGTGGTGGAGGCTCCTGCTTTGGAGGCTTTTAAGCAGAGGCTGGATGGCATCTGTTGGGGTTGCTTTGAATGCAATTTTCCTGCTTGGATTGGATGGCCCATCTCTTCCAACTCTAGGATTCTATGATTCTATAAAGCAAATGTTGTGGGATTTTATACAGCTGTGTAGAAGAGAGAGAAAAGGCAGGACATAATGAAACATTACAAAAATAAATATGTTTATGTAAAAAAAAATGGGATAAGCCATAGAACTGGGAGAGACTCCCCAAGAGCCATCTTTCCTCCTCCGTGCAGGAAACACAGAGGGAGGCTTCCTTCCCTCAGGATTCAGCATCCCACTATTGAACAGCTCCCAGTCTCAGGAAGTTGTCCGTCTGAGGTGGAATCTGCTCTGTTTCTTTGGACGGAGGGAGGGGGGAGAGTACGCCTCTATATCCCAGATTATTTGATTTGAACTAGATTATACGAGTCTATAGAATCTGGCATAAACAGACACACAGAAGAGAGAAAGAGAGGGGAGAGAGAGGCGAAGCTGAGACTGAGAGCGACGCGGATCGCGCGCCGGTCTGGGCGCACCAAGGCGGGGCTCCTCTTCCTCCTCCTCCTCCTTCTCCGTCGTCGTCTCTTTCTCCGTCTCTTTCTCCTTCTTCTTCTCCGCCGGAGCCTCGGAGGCGGAGGAGGGTCTTTCCCGCCGCGGAGGCAGAGGGAGGGAGGGAGGGAGAGAGGGAAGACCCTTCGCCTCCGCCGCGATCGAGGACGCTCCGTCGTAGCAGTCGCAATAGCGGCGAGGCGCGGACCATGAGGGGCGAAGAAGGGGCTCCGGCTGCTGCTCCTGCTCTTTCCTCCTCCATGCAAAGGGCGCCTCGGTGAACGCCGCCACCCGAGGGAGAGGAGAGGAGAGGAGCGGAGGAAGGAAGAGGGCGCGATGGAGGCTCCGGCGCCGTCGCCCTGCTCCAAGAAGAGCCTGTCGCTGTCCTTCCCGGCGCCGCCGCGGGAGGCGGGCCCGGCGACCACCCTGCTGAAGCCCCCGCAGCACCTCTGGCGCCAGCCCCGCACCCCCATCAAGATCCAGCACCGCGGCTACTCCGACACCGAGCGGCCCGCGCACCGCCCCATCGAGCGCGCCGACGCCGTGGACACCAGCGACCGACCGGGCCTCCGGAAGACCCGCATGTCCTGGCCCTCCTCCTTTCACGGGACCACCGCCGCCGGGAACAACAGCCACAACAACAAGCGGTAGGCAGGCCATCAGCCAGCAGGGCCGTCGGGGGGCCGGGGGCAGGAAGATGGCGCCCGGGTGGGTGTTTCCGACCCTCATCCTGGGTGCTTCCGACCACGAGCTGGCGCCGCCTCCTCTTCTTCTTCATCTTCCTCCTCTTCTCTTTCTCCTCCTCCTCTTCCACTTCTTCTTATTCTTCCTTTTCCTCCTCCTCTTCTTCTGCTTCTTTTTCCTCTTCTTCTCCTCTACTTCCTCTTCTTTCTCCTCCTCCTCTTCTTCATCTTCCTCCTCTTCTCTTTTTTCTCATCCTCTTCCCCTTCTTCTTATTCTTCTTTTCCCCCTCCTCCTCTTCCGCTTCTTTTTCCTCTTCTTCTCCTCTACTTCCTCTTCTTTCCTCCTCTCCCCTTCTTCTTCTTCCTCCTCCTTTTCTTCTCTCCTTCCTTCCTTCCTCCTACTCTTCCTCCTCCTTCTTCCACTTCTTTTTCCTCCTCCTCCTCCTCCTCCTCCCTCTCCTCCTTCTTCTCTTTCTCCCCTCTTCTTCTTTTTCTGCCTCTTCTTTCTCCCCTCCTCTTCCCTTTCTATTTCTCCTCCTCTTCACCTTCTTCATCTTCCTCCTCTTCTCTCTTCTTTTTCCCCTTCTTCTTTCTCCATTTCCCTTCTGCCTCTTCTTTTTCCCTCTTCTTTCTCCTCCTCCTCGTCCTCTTCTTCATCTTCCTCCTCTTCTCTTTCTCCTCCTCTTCCTCTTCCACTTCTTCTTATTCGTCTTTTTCCTCCTCTTCCTACACCTTCTCTTCCTCCTCCTCTTCTGCTTCTTTTTCCTCTTCCTCCTCCTTCTCCTCTATTTCCTCTTCTTTTTCTGCCTCTTCTTTCTCCCGTTCTTCCTTTTATTTCTCCTCCTCTTCACCTTCTTCATCTTCCTCCTCTTCTTCCTCTTCTTTTTCCCTTCTTTTTTCTCTTTCCCCTTCTTCCCCTCTTTCTTCCTCTTCTTTCTCCTCTATCTTCCTCCTCTTCCTCCTCCTCTTCCCTCTTCCCTTCTTCCTCTACTTTTTCTTCCTCTTCTTCCTCCTCTTCCTCTTCTTCCTCCTCCCCTTCTTCATCTTCCTCTTCTTCCTCTTCTTTTTCCCCTTCTTCTTTCTCCACTTCCCCTTCTTTCTCTACTTTTTCTTCCTCTTCTTCCTCCTCCCCTTCTTCATCTTCCTCCTCTTCTTTTCCCCCTTCTTCCTCCTCCTCTTCCCCTTCTTCCTCTACTTTTTCTTCCTCTTCTTCCTCCTCTTCCTCTTCTTCCTCCTCCCCTTCTTCATCTTCCTCTTCTTCCTCTTCTTTTTCCCCTTCTTCTTTCTCCACTTCCCCTTCTTTCTCTACTTTTTCTTCCTCTTCTTCCTCCTCCCCTTCTTCATCTTCCTCCTCTTCTTTTCCCCCTTTTTCCTCCTCCTCTTCCTCTTCTTCCTCCTCCTCCTTTCTCATCCTCCTCTTCCCAACAACAACAACAACTTTATTTATATCCCGCCACCATCTCCCAAAAGGGACTCAGGGCGGTTTACAGAGCAGCACATAATAGTGCCACATAAACACATTAAATACATCAGTATTTATATATTTATAGACATCAGAACAACACCAGTTAACATGAAGCAACACATTACAGAAATAACAAAACCCTTCCCCTTCTTCTTCCTTGTCCTCTTCTTCTCTTTTGCCTCCTCTTCCTCTTCTTTTTCCTCCTTTTTCTCCTCCTGCTCTTCTTCTCTTTCTCCTTCTTCTCTCCTTCTTCTTCCTCCTCCTCAGTATTAGAAGGCCGCTTCCTTTTCTCTTTGCTCTCTCATAGTGGAACCAAGTTCCTGGAACCAAGTTGAGGAGGAGAAACTTTGTGGCCTCCAAGGAAACACTCAGGACACTTGTCTTTCAGTCTACACTTTAGAATGAATGCAGTTTGACACCACTTTCCACTGCTATGACCGGAGCCCCTGGTAGCACAACGGGTTAAATCCTTGTGCCAGCAGGACTGCTAACCAAAAGGTCGCATTTTGAATCCGGGGAGCGGGGTGAGCTCCCATCTGTCAGCTCCAGCTTCCCATACAGGGACATGAGATAAGCCTCTCACAGGATGGTAAAACATCCAGACGTCCCCCGAGCAACTACTTTGCAGACAGTCAATTCTATCACACCAGAAGCAATTTGCAGTTTCTCAAGTCGCTCCTGATAAAACAAAAAACTTGCTATGGCCAAATGCTGTAGGAGGATAGGAGTTGGGAGTTTGGTGCACTCTTTGGTAGTGAAGGTGAAAGACTGCGTAAAACTACAGCTCCCACAGCATTCAGCCATGGCAGTGATGTCAAAACTGCATTTGTTTTATGGCGTAGGTGCACCCTGAGTTGATAAACTCTGGTTGTGTGGGTTGCACGTCAGTTTGCAGAGGTGGTCACACAGCGAATGGAAGCCTCGACACTGCAGAAAAATGTATTATTGTTGTAATATTATAATAATTATTATTATGTGCCTCTTTTTCTTTCTTCAAAGAGCCTCAAAACAGCAAAGAAATTCAGATGTAGCCTTTGGCTCCTTTACTAGTTTGAGCCTCATAAAGTCAGCCCTTTGTGGGTCTAGTGCAGAACTTTTCAAACATTTCATGTCAGTAACATGCCATTTTTAGACATGCGTCATTTCACAACACAGTCGTTCAGTTTTATTAGCAAACCGGAGTTTAAGCCAACCCCTTATAAAAGATACGAACACATACTTGAATTGCAATAGCAAAATGTCTGGACGCACATCAAATCTCAGGAAAATCATTTATATATTTTAAAAGATATTATTTATAGTTTATTTCACATAGACTCAGAGATTTCGCATTACATTTACACAACACACCTCCACACTGCAGCCAACACACGAATGTGTCACGTCACACAGTTTGAACAGAGTAACGGTGTAGTTTCACCTCCTGAATGACTTTGCCTCTTCTGCCTTCAGGGAATTAGAAAAAGCAGAAAAGTCCACACTCACATCGACACAAGTGAGGTGTTAGTTTCCCCACTGTCAAAATCTGTATTGAGGCCTGCAGGCAAATAACTCTGTGTTCTTTTATTTTATTAACCTTTGAAAAATAATGCATTGCTGAATATGTAATGCGTGTACGCAACACTGCGTTCTTCGATGAAAAGTCATTTGCAACTCATGAGGGGTGTGTGTGTGTGTGGAAAGGAGAAAATATTGATTACTGGTGTTTAGAGAGAGAGTTGGGGACCAGCTGTGGTTTGTCAACTATAACTATAGCATTATTATTATTATTATTATTATTATTATTATTATTATTATTATTATTTAGCTGTACCTGCCACGCGTTGCTGTGGCCAACCTTCTCTCCCTTTTTCTCTTCTTTCTTTCTCTCCTTCCTTCCCTTTTTCCTTTCTTTCTCTCCTTCCTTCCTTCTATTCTTCTTCCCTTCTTTCCCCCACCTTTTCTTTCCCTCTCTCTTTCTCCCCTTTCTTCTTTCTCTACTTATTCTTGGACTGCAACTCCCAGCACTCCTCCTGACTGATCGATCTACCTATCTCTATCTAATCTATTTATCTGGAGGATTGCTGGGATTTGCAGTCCAGGAATAGAAAATTGGAAATATGCAGGGATTGGGATGCTCTCAAAGAAATCCAAGGAGAAGAAAGCTTGAATCTTGGAAGCACTGCATTTGGATCATCCACCTCTCCTAAAGGGCCTGGTCTAGGGGATGCTGGGAGATGTAGTTTGGAAGAGAGTTTGGATATGCTATTGTGTGTTTTGTTTGCTGGGGGAGTCATTTTTGTGCATGCACTGTAGCATATTTTTGCTTTTTTGGCTTTTTAAATCCCCTCTGCTGTGTTTTTCAGTGTTTTTATGAGTGATGGTCACTTATTGGCCTGTTAGGTGTGTGGTATCCGAATTTGGTGTCAGTTCGTCCAGTGGTTTTTGGGTTATGTTAATCCCACAGACTAACATTACATTTTTATTTATAAAGATAATATTTATTTATACCCAGCTTTTCTCTCCATAAGGAGAGAAATCACTGGTAGTGATGTTTTCCTCCTTCTCCTCCTTGGTACTGGAATGGTTATGGCTTGTGAACAGGCATCAAGCTGTTGTCTTCTCACCCCAGTTCTTTCGAGTTTCTTGCCTTTCTAGAAGGCAAAATAATGAATCGTGTCTTTTTCATGTATATATAGATAGAGAGAGAGTCAAAATATCTGCCTCTCCGGTTCAGCAACTGCCCTTTCCCACATTGTGTGGCTTCCTTTAAAATCCAATTAACATTTTGTAACAACGAACAGGAAGGTGGGGAGAAAAGAAGACTCTTGGGGATTTCAAATATAGTAGAAGAAATTGCTTTTTACGTTTATTTTGTATCTCTTTTTGCTGCGCACAAGTAAATTCAATATCAAAGTCTGCCTTGAGTCATGTTATCATTTGGGGCAAAGGTCTGTAGCATAACTTACTCACATCTCTGTCGTTGGGTGAACCTACTAAGTAAGTAAGGAGGTGGTCATTCCCACTTCTCCAAGGCTTGCACTTGGAGGCACTGTAAAGAGCATAGTTAAAATGGATGATTGATGTGTTGACAACCTCCAAATCTGCTTCCTTCTCTCATAACGGCCTTGTCACCCCCATCTGTGTGTCTCTGTGTTCCTTTAAGTCACCTGTGGACATATGGTGTGCCCATGAATTTCATAAGATTTTCTTATGCAAGGAATACTCAGATGTAGTTTTGCCAGTTCCTTCCTCTGAAATATTCTGTACAGCATGTGATGTTTATTGGCAGTCTCCCATTTAATTACTGAATAGGACTGACTCCCGCTTAGCTTCCAAGTTCAGATACTTAGGCCAATGGTTCCCAGCCTTTCATTCATGACGGACTACTTGACCAGGGACCACTTTGTCCAAGGACCACTCTCCAACATTAGTACCAAAAAGTTACAAATCAGTTTTTGGTCAACTTTAGGTTCACTTTGGTTATTTGGGGTGCTGATTCAGAAAATTCCACTGGATA